GAAATGGATAAATTTCTGGACACATACAAACTACCAAAACTGAGGCAAGAAGATATAGAAAATCTGAACAGACCAATAACAATAAAAGAGATTGAAGCTGTTATCAGAAGGCTCCCAACAAAGAAAAGCCCAGGACCAGACGGTTCACTGCCAAGTTCTACCAAACCTTCAAAGAGGAAGTGATGCCAGTTCTCTACAAATTGTTCCAAAAGATTGAAACAGAGGCTATTCTCCCAAACTCATTCTATGAGGCAAACATCACCCTGGTACCAAAACCAGACAAAGAGACATCAAAAATAGAAAACTATAGGCCAATATCTTTCATGAATATAGATGCAAAAATCCTCAATAAAATACTAGCTAATGGAATACAGCAACACATACACAAAATTATACACCATGATCAAGTGGGATTCACCCCAGGGATGCAAGGTTGGTTCAACATATGCAAATTAACAAATGTGATACACCACATCAATAAAAGCAAAGACAAAAACCATATGATCATCTCTATAGACACTAAAAAAGCATCTGACAAAATTCAACATTTGTTCATGATAAAGACTCTCTACAAGTTAGGTATAGTTGGAAAGAATCTCAACAAAATTAAAGCCATATATGATAAGCCTACTGCCAATATCATTTTGAATGGGGAAAAGCTGAAATCTTTTCCCTTAAGAACAGGAACTAGACAAGGATGCCCACTCTCACCACTCCTATTCAACATAGTGTTGGAAGTACTACCTAAAGCAATCAGAGAAGAGAAGGAAATAAAGGGCATCCAGATTAGAAAAGATGAAGTCAAACTGTCCCTGTTTGCAGATGATATGATCTTATATATTGAACAGCCTAAAGCTGCTACAAAAAAACTCCTAGAGTTGATAAATGATTTCAGCAAAGTTGAAGGATACAAAATCAACACACAAAAATCAATAGCATTTCTATACTCCAACAGTGAACATGCAGAAAAAGAAATCAAGAAAGTTAGCCCATTTACAATAGCCACTAAAAAAATAAAATACTTAGGAATAAAGTTAACCAGGGATGTGAAATATCTCTACGAAGAGAACTACAAACCACTATTGAGAGAAATTAAAGAGGATACAAGAAGATGGAAAGATATCCCATGCTCTTGGATTGGAAGAATTAACATTGTGAAAATGTCCATATTACCCAAAGTGATCTACAGATTCAATGCAATCCCCATCAAAATTCCAATGACATTTTTCTCAGAAATGGAAAAAACAATCCAGACATTTATATGGGATAACAAAAGACCACGCATAGCCAAAGCAATCCTGAGCAAAAAAAATAAAGCGGGAGGCATAACACTACCTGACTTTAAACTATATTACAAAGCCATAATAACCAAAACAGCATGGTACTGGCATAAAAACAGACAAATGGATCAATGAAATAGAATAGAGAACCCAGAAATCAACCCATACATCTATAGCCATCTGATCTTTGACAAAGGCAGCAAATCTACATACTGGGAAGAGACTGCCTCTTCAGCAAATGGTGCTGGGAAAACTGGATATTCATATGTAGGGGAATGAAATTAGACCCGTACCTCTCACCATATACCAAAATCAATTCAAAATGGATTAAAGAATTAAATATACACCCTGAAGCAATAAAACTCCTTAAAGAAAACATAGGGGAAACACTCCAGGAAGTATGAGTAGGTACAGACTTCATGAATAGGACCCCCAAAGCACAGGCAACTAAAGGAAAAATAAACAAATGGGATTATATCAAAATAAAAAGCTTCTGCACAGCAAAAGAAACAATCAACAGAGTGAAAAGACCATCAACAGAGTGCAAGAAAATATTTGCAAAATATACATCTGACAAAAGATTAATATCCAGAATATGCAAGGAACTCAAACAACTTTATGGCAAAAAAACAAATAACCCAATTAAAAAATGGGCAGAGGAGCTGAATAGGCATTTCTCAAAGGAAGATATATGAATGGCCAACAGACACATGAAAAAATGCTCAACATCACTCAGCATTCAGGAAATGCAAATCAAGACCACTCTGAGATACCATCTCACTCCAGTTAGGATAGCTAACATCCAAAAGACTGAGAATGATAAGTACTGGGGAGGTTGCAGAGAAAAAGGAACTCTCATACACTGTTGGTGGGACTGCAAAATGGTGCAGCCTTTATGGAAAATGGTATGGAGGTTCCTCAAACAATTACACACAGATCTACCATATGACCCAGCTACTCCACTGTTGGGA